TAGATAGATAGATAGATAGATAGATAGATAGATAGATAGATAGATAGATAGATAGATAGATAGATAGATAGATAGATAGATAGATAGATAGATAGATAGATAGATAGATAGATAGATAGATAGATAGATAGATAGATAGATAGATAGATAGATAGATAGGATAGATGGATGGATGGATGGATGGATGGATGGATGGATGGATGGATGGATGGATGTGATGATGGTTAGATGAGTAGATTGGTGGATGGGTAGATGAGTAGATTGGTGGATGGGTAGATGAGTAGATTGGTGGATGGGTAGATGAGTAGATTGGTGGATGGGTAGATGAGTAGATTGGTGGATGGGTAGATGGGTGGATGGGTGGGTGGCTGAGTGGAAGAATGGATGGGTGGGTGGTTGGGTGGTGAGTGGATGGATGGATGGATGGGTGGATGGGTAGATGGGTGGATGTGTAGGTGGATAGATGAGTAATTTGGTGGACGGGTAGGTGGGTAGATGAGTAATTGGGTGGATGGGTGAATGGGTAGATGGGTGGGTGAGTGGATGGGTGGATGGGTAGATGGGTGGGTGAGTGGATGGGTGGATGGGTAGATGGGTGGATGGGTAGATGGTTAGATGTGTAGATGGGTAGATGGGTGGGTGGGTAGACGGGTTGATGGGTGGGGGTGGTGGGTGGGTTGGTAGGTGGGTGAGTGGATAGGTAGAAAGATAGATAGAAAGATAGACAGGTAGATATAAACTTGATGTTTATCATTAATTATTAATTGAATTATTCCTTCCTTTACTTAAAATCAGTTCCACCTTGTAGTGGTCCTCACTGGGCGGTCTAAACTGAATAAAACCCACGCTAGCGGTTTCGAGTTCAATTCATTCCCAGCAAAAGCCAAAAAACTGCATCAGCATTGATGTGACTCGTTAATCTTGGAAATAAATCTAAGAGCAGGAGAAATGAAACGCCCGCGACAGCGAGCACAGTGAAACATACAAGACACACTGCTGGTCATCTAATGCATCATGGTCTATTTCCAGCCGCCTTGACTAAGTCTCGCCATTGGATAAAAAGTCTAGGTTGTGTGATTGAGGCTGAATTTCAAAAAAAAAAAAAAAAAAAAAAAACGACTCGAGTCCAGACCGCTACTCAAAGTCGAAAATCGGTCACCTTAGCTTGCGGAGGACGAACAATGCTGGACACTTTTCTCAATATAAGCTAGACAACCATCAAAATTGTTTGTTTTAAAATCGTCACTAGCATTTATGACAAGAAAGAGGTTGAGGTCCATTTTAAAATATATATATATATTATCTCATTACGTACACTTTTGGGGGGCCCAGATTTCGAATACCTACTGATTTGAGGGTCCTCAATCCATACCTCATGCTCATAACTTGTCAATACCATTTCTTTTGGATATCGGCGTATCGTTAGTAGCTATGATTAAACAGCCGACTGGCATTAAGTGTATGTCACACGTTGACCTAACAGGTAGGCTATTCGTTAATTAATTATATATGATCATTGATTTGTAAAAATAGTGCCTTACTGTAAAATTAAACACTTTTTTTTTTAATTAAGAATAATTTAGTCTTAAGTTCGTATTTTTCAATTACTTTAAAAAAAAAGAATGCTGCAATTTACATACCTTATTTTCACAGTTTATGAAAATATCGTTTTTCCTTTCGTGTTTTGTCACGACGGCTGGCACCACGTCATCAAAGGTCAGCTGCCGTAGAACCCCCTGGTTGTTACACAGCGCTGCGATACACGTCACACTGTCTTGAGCCATGGTTGAATGAATATAATTTTTAACAAATCAGTTTCGATTCAGGAAAGGTTTTCCCGCTAAGGCTGGTAGTGACCATACGTGACAGAAAAAATGCAAGAAGAACTCGATCTTTGGCAACACTGAATATGATCCTCAAACTAAGAAGCTTAAGAATAAACTTTATTGTAGTAT